AAAAGCTTAAAAGTAAGGTTTTTTGCTCATAGCTTTGATGTCTCATTTGCTTATTTCACAGTGTAGCGTTCATTTCTTCTCAGACAACTGACCGAAACTTCCGCAGAACGTTTGTTCCGCCGGGGCACCTGCGGAAGTTCCGTAAACGTGTTGCGGAAGTTCCGAAGAATGCGAACCACAAAAGCAAAAGAGAACACCTAAGAGAGATTTAAACCTCACTTTATTGACTGTGAGACACACCTACTATCCTCTGCACTACGACTGGCATGTTCGATAATGCACTCTAGTCGTAGGCGAGGTAAAATCACGAGACAACATATTCAAAATCCTGCGGAAGTACTGGCAGGTCAAAGTGCTGCGGATCCGCTGTCAATTTTCGGAATCCGCAGCGCTTCCCAAGAAGTCCTGCGGAAGTTGAACCCCACGAAAGTTCCCATTTTGAACGTTGTCACTTTTCTAATAGTAAACAAAGTTCTGCGAAACCGCTGCAATTTTGGCTTGTCCTGCGGAAGTTCCGGCGGATTGTCTGAGCAATTTGCAAAAGCTTTTGAGATTGGTGTTAAAGTTAAAGTTAAGATCATGGAAAACACTCCTTATGATTTACTTCCAAGTTTTCTTATGAAATAATTTGAAAAGCCGCGCAGGTGTTGCACTTTACTTAGGATTTACACCTGAGTGTTTGCATGATTATGACGTTTAAAGTGCCATATCGGAAAATATTTCGAAATATTTTCACCTGCATGCACAGAACGCGCACTCGTGCGAAAATCTACACTTGTTTGCACGTAGCACCAGAAAACTCCCAATATAATAGTTTCATGGATAAGCATGCATTTGGTAGACGAGAGACAAGCAGTTTATTTCTTCCGTTAATGTTAGGGTTTTCCGTAAGTTTGCACCAAAAACAAAAACGTGAGGAATTCGTTTTGAAAATACTTGAAGGGGTTTCTCACCATGCGCTATATTTTGGTGATAGATGACACACAGTCCTATCACAGTGGCGGTCCCAGGATCTCCGTGTGGGAGGGAGGGGGAGGGGTGGGGGGGGGGGGGAGCGCAGCAAAATTTTTTTTGCAAATGAAGGTGAATGGCGTCAGCCACGCACTCCGAAAAAATTTGGGATTCTTCTCAGAACAATTCTCAAAGTTTTCGAGGGCCTATAACCACTAAATTCTAAGAACAGGCTAACATGACTAACCCCACGCCCCGAAAATTTTTTTTACAATTTCAAAAGTTGTTTATTTATGAAGGAACGCACTTGCACATTTTCATACCATGTAAGCAGATTTCAAAAATTTCGCGACCCTTTCTTGAGGAGGCCTCCCCTCGGTCCGCCACTCATTAAAAATTCATCATTATATCACTTTTACCTGTATGTTGATACTCGTGTAAGAATTAAATGAATTTTAGAGGTTTTATTCGAAAAAAAGGTCAAATTCCCAAAGAACTTTGAGAAATATAACTATTCCTAGCCTTCATAGCAGAAATTTTCATAGAAAAGAGAAACTGCGATTTAAGAAATTTTATGTAAGCCTTATGCACCAATCCAGCAGTAGTGGGACCGAAATTGGGCGGAGAGGGGAAGGGGCAGAAATTTTTTTTGGATTCATGGGGCGCGGCGTTAGGCACCCGTCCATATTTTGGTTTTTATTTTGACTACCTATGACTAGTGCGCAATTTTATAACTCACATAGGCTTCTTTCAACATTTTCGCATCCTATTTTTTGAGGCGGGGAAGGAGGGTTAGGGAGGCGGAATACTATGGACCCAGATATAAGGATAATTTTCTTTTTGGCATGTGCTTATTTTTGAAGAGATTAAATATAGATGCTTTTTACATGCTATTATTTGCACATTCCAATGATATTATGCTTCATTCTATGCGTGACAAAAATTTCTTCTCTTACATAGCACGTTAAACATCGCTATTTTGAGGCAAAGCCCCATTTCTCTGCTCTCCGCTAGAATTTTCCCAACAACAAAGGCTTACTATTGTCTGCTGTGTGAATAACGACAGCTTGTTGTTTGTGGGTCTGTAGTTTTTTATAGTTCAAAGCCCTTATTATAGAGGAGAAAGAGGGGGGGGGAGTCACAAGCAAAAGTGTTTAGGCTCATTTGGTGCAATTGCGTTGAAGGCACCGTCCACCCAGATTCGCGACTTTCATATTTTGATCGTTCCAGGGCCTTCTCATGTCCTTGATCCGAATATGAAGTCGAAAATCCGCGAAAACCCCGTCAATCCCATTCCGGAACGGTGATTGGATGAGTGCGTAGGGATAGGCGGGCATTACTGGAGGGAGGCGGTACTTAGGGTCCTCATGCATCTTCGCTATTCCGAAGAGCTTTTCTTGCTTGCGAAGGGACATTTTGCACCGCGGACTGGGCATTGGCTTGATAGAGGGCCCTACTGCCAAAAGCTCAAGACCTCTAACTTAGAATGGAAAACCTTTGAAGGCTGCGTTTTTTTTTTTGCGGATCTGGGTAATGGCGCGGCGGTAGGAAATTTTTTGATTTTTGATTTTTTTTCAACCAAAACCCCTCAAAGGTGCCAATTTATATTTTCTCAAGTAGGTAATTATAATGATCAACCTAACAACTTCCTCGATTTCCTTCCCCAAAGCGTTGCGAAAAAAATGGTTTTGTGATTTTCTAAAGATACGTCAGCTACGCGCACAAATCTCTCTTCCGTCGCGACGTTATCCTTATATGCTCGATTTGACGTCAGAGCAGCAATCTACTCGCCGAGGTGCAATAAAATAGGCAAAAGCGCCCAGTTATGATCCAATTACAAAGTTCTTACCCAGGTACTGCCCGAAAGAGCAAAACTCGCAGGCACTTTCTCTTCCGATTTGATTCCCTAGCTGAAAGGCCTCCTGAGCATCTCGATTCATCCACTGTTCGGGGAGAAGGGGGGGGGGGGGGGGCTCAGGTAACGGCGGCGCGGCCTGAGGGAGTTTTCGAACAGAGCGCGTCGTCATGGTGAAGGCTGGCATTCAGCCGAGGCCCAGCTCAGAAGGGAGACTATCCACAACGGCTCCTTTTACCCCCAACAACGGGGATCGATATGCTTGACTATGTACTGTTGCTTTTCTATACTTTTTTTTGTATCTATAATCATCCGTGAAAGGTCATAACCCACATTGTCTATGTCCCGCAGAAGTCCGCTCGAACTAGACATACAATATTTTGCTAAAACCCATAATAGGCGCCTGCAAGCCCCGCAACGCTTTTCTGCATATTAGAAGTCATGACACTTGAACTCCATTCTATAAAAATCAGGAAAATTTATTTCCCTGTTCGCCTAGAATACTACTCGAACTAAGCATTTTATTTTTTGATATAATTCATGATAGGCAAGCCCACCCTTTTCTACATATCTCATGGCACTCGAAACCGAGCCCAAAAATTCAGAAAAATTTATTCCCATGCTAACTGTAGAGGCCATAATGACCAGTTACAAAATCACTGAAATTGCACTACGAAATTATTTTTTGATTTTATCAAAAAAGTTTGGGGTTATGAATCTTGCAAAAATGTGACTAGAATAGAATCTAGGACGCATCCGGTGCAACATTGCCTTCTTTCTGATTACCAGATATGGAACCACATTCTTTGAAGGTCGTTAGAATTTCACGATTTGCAGTGTCAATTTTAAACCGAAATTTTTCAAAGCTAAAGATGCACAAAATCTTTGTTTCATACACAATAAATCTTTCAAATTCATTCATTTCGGGGAAAAGAAAAATCACAGGTCATCTAATATTTCTCCAAGATTCCTATCCCCGTTGAGCTAAGCTATCTACCCAAGGCTTTCCTTATTACCACTAAATGCTCCTTTTGACTCATTGTATGTACGTAAATGATAGTTCATTTATTTACATAATAATGGGTTCCCATGTTTTGTTTCGTTTATGTAAATGCACCTTTACCTCATCGGGTGCGCTTACATTTCATGTGACTCAAGACGTCAAATATCACATGAACACTTATGACGGGCTAAAAATTTCTTTACTCTGTCTTTGTAATCTGGTCGTAGTACTTAGCTTATTAGATATCATGCTCTTACATAATTGGCACTGAATTCTAATCAAATATTGTAATCAAACCAAAATTGACTGGAAAATCAGGGATAATTTTTGAGTTGCTTTAGAATCGCTAATATACTGATTAGTACTTAAATCAGCTCCAAAACGTAGAATTTCATTTCAAAAATGGAAGCACCCATGACCAGTAAAGTTTGAGAAATTCTTGAGCTTGATTCGCTCTTCTCGCACGTTTCTGTCTATTGCCCTGTCAATTTTTTCCAGTTTCATTCATTTTGAGATGCCATTTCGTATTATTGCCATTTCCATATGTTAGCAAAGGCCAGAGAATTTAGTGAAATGTTACCTGCAGTTTTTATGATGCCTTAGAGGCACCCTCCACCCAGAATTTCGACTTACACGTTTTTGTCGTTTCAGGGCCTTCTCATGTCCCTGATTCCGAATATGAAGTCGAGAATGCGCGAAAACCCCGACAATCCCCGTTCCGGAGAACCCACAGGCCGGCTTTCCGGGACCGTGATTGGATGGGCGCGCACAAATGGGCGGGCATGGATGGGGGAGGGCGGGCATGGATGGGGGTCCTCGTGCATCTTCGCTATTCCGAAGCAATTCTCTCGCTTCCAAAGCGGCACTTTGTGCCGCGATTTCGGTATTGGATCGATAAAGGGCCCTACTACATATTATGCTGCCAAAAGCTCAACAGCCTCACCTTAGGGTGGACGGTGCCTTTAATATGGAACAATGAATATTCAACTCAAAAATTTGCTCACGTTGAGTATCTTATTGTTAGATCGTTTCACAATACACAGCTTTGTTTTCGTAATCATTGTTTATCGTTGATGTAGGACGTCAGCGGATTAGCAAGTACCTTAATCTTCTTTCATCTCCTCTCTTTCATTCAGATCTCAGTTTTTTTTCTTTCCTTCTTTTTCAGGGTTCTGTTCAATGCGATCTTTTGAGAACACTACTGCTTAACAAAATTTTATAATTTACAACATCATCTTTCTTGAAAACTGTACAAACATTCACAAGTTATTCATGTTAGGAAATGCTCGGCGGATTTTAGAGGTATGAATTATTTTCTTTCATGGAAAAGAGAAAAAATGCTCACCCTACAGGAATTAAAATTGTGCAAATTGTAAAATTGCAGTGACATGCTTTGGTCCTTGAACATATCATTTTCGTTTTTTTCTCCTATGAATGACACTAAGTTTCGATGAGTTCGAACATTTCAGTACATTTTATTCTGTCAAAATCCTTTTACACTTCCTTGGGAACTACTGATGAGGGGCACCAAGGAAGTCGCATGACCGGTATAGTTCTTCTCAGACAAATCACCGGAAATTCCGCAGGACAAGCCAAATTTGCAGAAGTTCCGCAGGACTTTGTTTACAATTGCAAAAATAAAACGTTGAAAATCGGAACTTCCGCGAGATTTTCATGCCAAACTGGTTGAAAACCGGAACTTCCGCAGAACCTTCTTCAAAATCCTGCGGAAATTCCGAAAAATGCCAGAGGTTCCGCAGCACTTTGGCTTGCCAGAACTTCCGCAGGACTTTGAATGTGTTGTCTCGTAATTTTGCCTCGCCAACAACTAGAATGCATTATCGAACATTCAGTCATAGTGTAGAGGATAGTAGGTGGGTCTCACAGTCAACAGAGTGAGGTTCAAATCTCTCTTCGTTGTTCTCTTTTGCTGTTGTGATTGGCATTCTCGGAACTTCCGCAGGACCTCATTTCGGAACTTCCACAGCACGTTTACGGAACCTGCGCAGGTGACCCGGCGGAAGTTCCGTAAACTCTCTGCGGAAGTTCCGGTAATTTGTCTGAGTTAGCCCCGAAACCGGAATGCGAATAAATGTTTGCTTTTCACGGCATTATCCAAAAAAATCCCTTTATAATGTTGTACTTTGCCTTTCTTCTACGTTTATTTGTACATAATTGAAAATTTTGAAATTTTTCAAAGACTCAAACTGCCTTCGTAAAAAAGAATCGTCGAGTACATATCTTGCTACCGCCACCTCCCCTTTTTGAGATATTTGGATTATACAAGGCCGCAAGAGGGAAGTATCGCGGCAATTCTTGGGCAGGGCCCAGCAAGAGGCTGCATTTAAATTTTGAAAACGAAGTCTTTGAAATGGCAGAAAATTCGAAACACCGTTTGTGATGTTTGTGGGAGTACGCCTGATAATCTGCAGTAAACGACAAATGGATAAAATGAAGAGAAGACAAGAAATTCCAGAAATGACACAGCGAAAGGCAAAAAGAAGGGCGGTCTTTATAACAACAAGGGCTATAACAAAGTAGAGGGTTCAAAACTTGCGTTAAGAGTACCTATAGGTAGAGCTTGACTTGATGAACAGTCTATGTAAAAATGTTTGAAAAATATGTGAAGGAGGAGGAAAATTATGACTTTGGTTCCGCGCAACCTCAGGGTGCTCCCAGGTTGCGCGGAACTAAACAATTTATATCTATTTTAGGTTGCAGGAGCAACTTAAAGGCAGCGTCCAGGCAGATTCTCGACTTCTATATTTTTATGTTATCCAGGCCTTTCCATGGCGCTGATTCCGAATATGGAACTCAAGAAGCGTGAATTTCTCAGAAAACCACCTTTTGGGGCTATTTTGGGAAAACCCGGACGAGTGCTTCTGATGTTATCCTTGTCGAAAGCAAGTATTAACAGGTAAACGCTGTAAGTTCGACTGTGTTGGTCATGTGAAAACACGTCAAGGCTGAGCAGATTTCGTTCATAAGGGGTTGGCCGTCCGAGGGAAGTGGGCGTGGTCGTCGAGCTCGGATCTGCCTGGACGCTGCCTTTAAAATAGAAAAACTCGCACACTGTCTGACCTGCGCAAACATGTTGGTACCGCGATTTCGGGTGTTGAATCATTCGAAATGGAGTAGGGCACAAGTTATAACCTGTTAAGCATGTATGGCATAACGTTCTTCAAACTTTTATTCAAAAAAGGGACTATAATGGGCATAGGCCCTTTTGAACCCTTCGCGCGCGATGCTCGTTTCGCCGCGTGCGGAGCCGCTGGCAAAGCTAACAAGTACAATAAACGAGGAAAATTCTTAGTTTGAAGCATGTAATATACCGTGCCAAAACCTATAATCATGTTGGACACGAAAGATGTACAAAAATGAACAAGTATCAACTCGTTATGGCAGTGGACATATTGACCAATCAGAGGCGCGACGTGATAGCGAGCGGTTCAAAAAAGTCGTTTCCCGACTATAATCATTCACTCTCTCTAAGCTAATACCAAGTTAATCTCTTCTGCAACCAATTTTTTTTCGTTCGAGATTGTTCAAATATTTTTTTGTTTTCGTATCAGACAACTTTGTTGTTCTAAAATCTTGGAATAACGAAGTACCCAATCCTATCCGCCTACAGAGATCTCTTCACAGACGGGTATGACTGAAGACGTGGATGGCCACGTCCTCGACAAGTACGAGCTACAGAAGAGGCTCGGCAAGGGCGCTTACGGTATCGTATGGAAAGCGATCGACCGACGGACTAAGGAAACTGTGGCCTTGAAAAAGGTTCCCGAACTTCTATTTTTCTTTACTTTTTACGCTCTAAATTTAAGTTACTACTCCTCGAGACTTCTTCTTCCTTTGTTCAAAATTTCAGTGATATCCAAGAAAAAGTCCCAATTAATAGTCTAAAATTCTATGGTCTAAAATTTTTTTCAAAACCGTATACTGTACCTTTCTTTCGTTCAAATCCACGCCAGTCAATTAATATGTCGGTAAAAGTGCCCAGAAATGTACGGCCAGAAATAAATCTAATAAAATAATAAAATCTAGCTCACAAACAAGTTGTCCTAACAAAGTGCATTTTGAATCTTTGATAAGTTTGTCAGAAAGGGTATCCTATGGACTTTAAAAGTAATAATTCATTCGATCTGGTGGATTATCGGTCAACAAACAAAGTTCTTTTGAGTAGTACCTATGCTCAAGGAATAATTGAGTTGCAACCTTAGTGAAAATCATTTAAAAAATAAGCATTAAAAATACACGGAACTTGGATAACTTTCTCATCAATTTACATTCATTTACATTTACATGTTTTGCTGGTTTTCCGAGCATTTTCGGAGTGTGGCTGACACAGAACATTTTTTCAAGAATTTCCGCAAAACTTTTTCTCGTTTTCTCTAGAAAAAAAAATCCAAAGTTTGTTCAAGAAACCGCAAAAAATGGGCTACCATAATCTCGTTGCAAAAAAGGCATGACTAGTTATTACTCATCTGGAAAAGCAACTTATTTCCTGTTTCATAAAATTAGGCTTAGATTTATGATAGACATTTGCAAAGATGATTTAGGTTTCTGTTTATTGGAAGCAGACATGCTTGATTTGTAAAAAAACATATTTATTTCACTCTGCATATTTTGCAACCAGGAGGTTAATTGAATGCTTTAGATTTTCGATGCATTCCGGAACCAGACAGATTCGCAACGGACGTTTCGCGAAGTGATGTTTCTGCAAGAGTTCGGACGACATCCGAATGTCATCAAGCTGTTTAATATTCATAAAGCTGATAATGACAGGTGGGCGCTTTTACTTGAATGAAAAAATATCGTGATCTATAGAGTACGGAAAAGAACTACTACTCACTTTCGTCCAAAAAGCATGGAAGTATAATAATGGCACATAACCAAGTGTTTCAAATTCTTCTCAACCATGTTTTGCACAACTGTTGTAATGATAGGCCTAGAACCTTTTTCGTGGAGATTTGTGTCGCCTTTTTCTAAATCCAAACAAAAAGTTCGATCTTCTTTGCTTAGTTGGTTGATGCATACAAGAAGAATTTGTGTGAATGTTCGAAATAGATAGATTATTGATAATATTCATTAATTGTTATGTTTAATGAATTTGAGTAGTTTTTGTCGTTGCTGATTCGCACTTTTCATCTATAATACACGCTAGAGAATTCGCAAAAATTCGAATATCACAATTATCGGTATATTATAGATCTAGTTCGACTCACTTTAACGATCAAGTTCCAAAAAATATTGTTTTTTTATCAGCCTGTACCGCTCCCATACGATAAGCAGCTCATTCTGCTCTGATCGTCAATAGAAAGCGAATATTTTAACTTAAAAACCTATAAAAATGATTTTATCAAAAATTCAGACTGCTACATGTTAGCAAAAATTTTGTGAAAGATTTGTGCATAACTTAATAAGTTCAACAGGGTTGGCGCTTCTCTTTTTCATCTTTTATTTACTTATTTAGGACTCTCAAGTCGCTCCAAAAAATAGCGAAAACGCACAAATTATCGAGTGTACAAATAAATGTGTACAAAAGAGTGTTTCACGACCCAAAACCTCAGAGGCAGTATATTTCATAATGCCTCAAAGGAGCTTGCGAGGAAAGCATAGTCATCCCGACATCAAAACTTTGATTGTAAATCTTTGGAAAATGGCATGTCCTAAGTCTTGGTTCTCATGTCTTTTCTTTCGTCCCGCTCAAATGCTTCTCGCATTCTAGCGACAACGTGTCTTACTTTCAGGGACATTTACCTGGTATTCGAGTACATGGAAGCCGATTTGCACAATGTCATCAAGAAAATGACCATTCTGAAGGACGTGCACAAGCAGTATATCATGTGTCAGCTGTTCCGTGCTATTCGCTTTTTGCACAGCGGAAACGTGTTGCATAGGTGAGCGAGCCTGACACTTTTGTCCCAGTTTTTCCCCTCTCCTTTCTGGCTGTCATGGCAATGAGGTTTGTCGATTCTTGCAAGTTTGAAGTGTAGATTTTGTAGAAATTTTTCCGCATGGGGCAACAAGGAAGCAGTTTAAGATTAGCGTGGGCGTTTGAGCTGCTTTATGAATAAGCGTTTAGCGGATGTTGGAAAATAAAGCTCAGAGTAGACAAACAACCATGTGTCACCCAAGGCTAAAGGATTTACCTTTGATTCAACTGGTTTGGCGGCAAGAAAGCGGGGCTCTGTGACCTAATTAAGGCCGCTTGCGTCCGCGACGCAGTCTGCGTCTCTCCCGCGCACGTGCTCTTTGATCATTACCTAGTCTTAATTAGGTCACAAAGCCCCCCCCCCTTCCAGCCGCCAAGTGAATGGATCGCTAAATTTTTAAAGATGGCTCACATGAATATTGTGCAAGTACGTAGTTTCTATTTGTAAACAACTGAAATAATTCCTTGAAATTGCCAACATCAAAAAAATCTGGGTGGAGGACTATATGTCGCCGAAAAAGGGCGGTCCCCGCGGTCATTTGCGACAAATACGCACTCTTGTACATGCGCGGACATGCGTTCCTGCAGGGAATCCGCGCGGGACTCTTCCAAATTCGGCGACATATAGTCCTCCACCCAAAAAATCTCTTTGTGAGGCGCGACTCTCGACATCGCTACTTTCTTCAAAATTTAGATTTTTTTAGTTCTAGGCCTCTTTGTCTTGTCTTATTTTCATTCTCAGTTTTTAATTTGTTGTAAAATCAAGCTAGAAAGGAATCAAGCCGCATTTTTTTTAGGAGGGCGCGGTCAACGTCAACGCTCTTCATGTAAAATCTCTATCACTCCCACCAATTTTTTCAAAAAAAATTTTTGGACTGCTTTTTCCTACAGCTTCAAAGCAGCACTTCACGTTTTCTTACGTAAAACGGCAAATGATCAGGATCGAATGTTAACATGCGGAAACAATCATATGCTTTTTCCAACAAGACTAGTTGATTGCATGGAAAGCTAGACGTCTGGCTAGAATTTTGACAATGGGTTTAGATGTTGAGGAAGGGAAAAAGAAACCTAGCCATGAAGTCCTTCATTAATTCGACATTTTGTTGCATAATATTCATTTTCCTCATTTTGCTTAAATTTTGCGCGGTGCTTCACAGTTTTGAGCCAGCATATGATTTTGACTACAATTCTTTCAGGGATCTGAAACCGTCAAATGTGCTCTTGGATGCCGATTGTCGAGTGAAGCTGGCGGATTTCGGACTTGCGCGGTCTCTTTCATCGGTATGTTTATGCCTTTTCAAAAACAAAGCTATATCAGACAATCGGAAATGACTTTCGGGGAAAACCGAAAAAGACAGTGCAAGTTCGAAAGAGACAGCAGACGGTGAAATAAATGAAAGCGCGCTTCATCGGACAGACGCCGACAGCGTCCGCAATGGTACCCTATTTCTGCACGCGATAATTCGCCTATACGTCTGAGGCTAATATTATCTGCTGTGACGATTTCAACTAATTTCAACCGCATTTGTTTTATTGTTTTTTTTTCTTGAGATAAAGTCGGTATTATATAGCTATAAACTACCTTGTAATTTTGTGCACTGTCGGCAACGATGACTACTGCTTTTAGCTGGAAGACTATCCAGAAGGACAGAATATGCCCGAATTGACTGAATACGTCGCTACACGATGGTATCGTAGTCCGGAGATTTTGCTAGCAGCCAAAAGATACACTAAAGGTGTCGATATGTGGAGCCTTGGCTGCATACTCGCCGAAATGCTCTTAGGTAAAAATTACGCATAGAAGTTGCTGGAAAAAATATTATAAAATTTAAGGTCGAGCGTTGTTCCCTGGGACATCGACTATAAATCAAATAGAACGAATTATGAATACAATAGCTCGACCAAGTAGAGCTGATATTGAAAGTATAGGTATGCTCACTTATGTACTTTTGCTTTTTTAAGCTAGATTTATGTAGTATATGGTGCACCTGCGGTGCCGACAACATCTGCGCGGCGGCAAATGGCCATGGAGTGCGAAATTTCAAAATAGGCGCGCAATTTGTCGGGCTTGGAGACATGGCAACTTACTCACGCGCAAGCGTTGTCTTCACCGCAGATGAACCATATTAACCTTGAAATCTGCTAGCATATACTTTGCTTACTCAGGTAGCCACTATGCCGTATCGGTGCTCGACAAAATGCCTCAAAGGCCTAGAAAAACTTTGGAAACTATGATTACGTGCAACAATCCTCATGCTCTTGATCTTATTCATAGGTAAATTCCTTTTATATTTCATTCACTAAATTAAAATTTTCTAATTAAGGTTATTGATTTTCGCTCCACATCGTCGCCTTACAGTCGAGCAGTGCCTCGTTCATCCTTATGTTCTACAATTTCATAATCCAGCCGATGAACCTATATTACCCTATGATGTAAGTTTTTTTCTAAAGATACCTATCGTTTAGTAGATTTCCCGCTTCTAAAGTGCGCTTGCGGTGCTGAGATGCGGCCAAATTTGCGCGTGAAGAAACAATTAAGCCGTAATGCCGGCATTCTGCGCGCGCAAGTACCGGCATCACGGACGCAGATATTTGTCACACGCATATTTGGCCGCAAAATCTCGGCACCGCAAGCACACACTAATTAAAGCGCATCTCAAAAATTATAATTTCAGGTGAACCTCCCACTACCAGATCACATCCAACTTTCTATCGATGATTACCGTAACAAACTTTACGAAATGATGAATCAAAAGAAAACGCACGTCAAGCGAATACAGCACGAAAAAATCCGAATTGTGAGTTTCTTCTTTTTTATCCTTTTTCCTCATTTTTTAGCTTTTTTTTCAAGGGGGAACGGCCACATACCGTGATAGCAAAGCCATCAACGCCTGTGCGCGAAGTGATGAAAGCTAATGGTCGGAGTTCTTCGGGCACGGCTGGTGGAGCACCGATCGCTCAAGCAGAATGTAGCGACACCGATTACGACACAGCAAGGAGTTTGGCCAGAGCGGCGAGTGTCGAGAAAAATGGCAGTCTGAACAGTGGAAGTACGCTGAGGGGTATGTTTGTTTGTTAGTTTGTTTGTAAGACGGCCAGCAACAGAGAGTACACGCGAACTTCGCTGACAACGGAAGTAATCGAAGTCAGTGTGGCCTTTGCATATGAGATGTATATGAAATTAGCCGCCTCACAACGTTAATTCAAAATCTACATTCACTATCTGCAAAGCTACATTCTGAAAGAAGTTATGAGGGTTGAAATGTACAAGGCCTATGGTCAAACATCCCCGACTCATTTGCATCGGAGAATGAGTGGTGTGTAATGGTTAGGGGGTTAACCTATTACTCCAACACATCATGGCTCGATCCCCGCAGGTGCCGTTCCTTTTGCATTTTCTAGAACAGATTCTTGCTTGATTCCGGTTTATCGTAACAGTGCCAGCATATTATTTTTGTGTCGAATTCGCCATACCATATACAATCCTCTCCTATAATATAAACCCGATCCCAAAAAACGAGACGGCGAGGATGGTCCGCCCACATGTATGCTTCAACGGGAATCCTCTCCTATAATATAAACCCGATCCCAAAAAACGAGACGGCGAGGATGGTCCGCCCACATGTATGCTTCAACGGGAATTTTGAATAGACGCCAGTTGCCGAACGGGGCCTTATTGTGTAGAGACGCGACGGTGCAATCATGAGGTCAAGAGGACGCAGAGGTCCTAGCGCGAACGAGAGGCCACGACACGCAGGGCACGCTCTGCTGCTGCAATGGGTGTGTTGAAAGACGCAAGCGCGTGCCAAGGATGTGGAAATTGCGGGCTGGTCATTGTTGCATAGTTGTAGAAGCCTACCATTTGATCCGCTCACATCCAATCTCAGTATTCACTATGCTTCCACTTTTCCGCCAAATTTTGAGAAAATCTTCGAAAATCTCGCTTTTGGAAGCTTTTGCTCTGGGTGAATTCGACTTTTCCCTCCAGATTGTAAGCGTGAGTGCGAGAGTGACATTGCGAAAGGAAGCTGTACAGCGATGACTGGGGCAAAACAAAATTAGCACGATTGATCCACTTTTCCGCCAAATTTTGAGAAAATCCTCGAAAATCTCGCTTTTGGGAGCTTTTGCTCTGGGTAAATTCGATTTTTCTCCCCAGATTGTAAGCATGAGTGCGAGAGTGACATTGCGAAAGGAAGCTGTACAGCGATGACTGGGGCAAAACAATATTTTAGCACGATATGATCCACTTTTCCGCCAGATTTTGAGAAAATCCTCGAAAATCTCGCTTTTGGGAGCTTCTGCCCTGGGTGAGTTTCACTTTTCCTTCCAGATTGTAAGCGTGAGTGCGAAAGTGACATTGCGAAAGGAAGCTGTACAGCAATGACTGGGGCAAAACAATATTTTAGCACGATATGATCCACTTTTCCGCCAAATTTTGAGAAAATCCTCGAAAATCTCGCTTTTGGGAGCTTTTGCTCTGGGTGAATTCGAATTTTCTCCCCAGATTGTAAGCATGAGTGCGAGATAACGTTGCGAAAGGAAGCTGTACAGCGATGACTGGGGCAAAACAAAATTTTAGAACGATATGACTCACTTTCCTCCCATTGAAAAAATCTCTGAAAATGTTACTTTTGAGCGGTTATGGCAATACATATACTGATAAATTGAAAATTCACTTGAGAAAATTATAGGTATGAAACGCGTTTGTTTATGGGTGTGCCCTACCCGCTTGCTAGCGACCCGTAGGGTCGCTAGTCTTATATATAAACTTGAATGGCTGTTTGTCTTATGTATGTGCCAGTGGCGCGCCCCCCCCCCCCCGAGAAGGGGTCGCGAAATTTTTGAAAGTTACCTGAATGTATTATAAAAATGTGGAGAGGACTTGTTTTTACTTGTAAATAATTAATAATTTTTAAAAAATTTTAAAAATTCAAATTAGCCTTGTAAAAAAATTTTCTTCGGGGGCGTGGCGGCAGCCACGCCCCCTTTTTCTAAAATTTTGGGGTTAGGGGCCTGGAAAAATTTTGGAAAACATCCCAAAAAATTTTTCGGAGTGCGTGGCTGACGCCACTCACCTTCATTAGAAAAAATTTTTTGTCGTCCCCCCCCCCCGAGCCGAAATCCTGGAGCCACTGGTATGTACGTTGCTGCATAACGAGGGCGCAGTAGTATTGGGCGCGAACGGGTTTTTTTAGCCGCAGAGCGCACGAGGTGCAGATTTCAACGGTGAAGATACGCGCGCGTCGCATTTGCGCCCCTTAGTTAGTACTGCTTCTGCGCCTTCGTAATGCAGTAACCTTTATGTATATCTGTCTGTCTATACGTATGTTAGGAATGGGAAATTTTTTTCTGAGCCGATCCGAACCAAACTTTGACAGATACACGTCGGAGTAGGGCGGGTGTCGTAGGCTACTTTTCGTTATCGATTGATAATGGTTTTCGATTTGTTGCAAAATTTGAGCTACAGAGCGGGGAGTTGGCACAGGGCGTAAGTGAGCATGCTGATTACGAAAATATTGTTGACAGAGCCGGGCGGAGTCGTGTTTGCCAAGTACGGTATATAATACACTTCTCCTAAGGAAATGCCGCAGTGACTTCGGGTACTTCCCTTGTGAGAAGAAAACAGTGGTGAAATCCTTTCTTTACCATATTCTAGAGTTTTCTGATTATTGGCCTATTATGCAGGACTTTTGCAACTCTATTGCCGAACTTGCTGAAGGGTGAAATTAGTCGGAAAGAACGTTTCTGCTTCGTAAGCACGAATACTTAATCATTCGTTGCTGCTTTTGATCTTTGATTCTTCTGCCATGTTGCGTACTGCAAATTTTTGCCAGCGGATGAGTATAAAAACTCTGCCCACATCATAAAAACTGAGTTTGGCAATTTTTTGTGCAGATTGCAGAACTTATGGCAAATTTCTCGTCATTTTCAGAACGTGCTCAATCTGCTGATTCACGATCGGCAAAAAGTAGTGGAACAGGCAAAGGACGAAGAAGATCCATCGAAAGACCGCGAATGTTCAGTAGTATGAAGCCGAGTCGACTCATGAATCCTCATAAGCTCATTTCAAACTATTAACTCAATTTTAAATCCCTGTTAGTCGCAAAATTTTTCTCAGCATTGGAGTCCGCACCCGACAGCTATAAGCGAGTCGCCGCACGGGATAAGGCGCTATTGCGGACGCTGTCTGCGTCCCTCTGACCAAGTGCACTGTCACTCCTATTACCGTCTGCCGTCTCTTCCAAAATCGAACTCTCTTGGTAGGCCGTGGCTGCGTTCATTCTCTGCGTGCGACAAATGGTCATTACCCACTGCAGGGTCATTTTAAACTCTCAAATTATTCTCTCAAAGCAATCTCACTTGACGATCTCAACATTCGTGATGATCTCCTCAAACTAGTCGTTACTTGGTTTATGAGCTCATCCTTTTTAATATCTTCCTATTCCTTGAATTGGCTAAAATTAAAATTCTTTTCATTCTTGATGCGCATTAGATCTTGTCCCCATTGTCTTTCATCCGAAGAGATCTACATTTAGCGATAATGCTTTGAGTTGCATGTGCTCCATCACGCAATGATTATCGTATACGGGCATAAAAATAAACGAGACCTATATGTTAGTTCATGATTTGCTGGAAAATGGATGAACTATGCGCGAGTATTTGTGACTCAATATGTGAGCTTACACATTGCGCGCGGCAACAGACGACAGCTTAATAATTGGCCAGTAGAGCCTTGTGTAGAGGAACAAGCTGTGGAAATGTGCACTACTGCCTGCCATACATTCATAAAGAGAAGAGAACAATGGGTAACTACTGGTATTTAGCAGTTTCCAATCTTACAAGTCGTAAAATAGCGCGCGTGGTGTGCATTTAACATCTATTAGGGTGTCCATAATTTTTTACCGTTTTTAATCTAAACTTCAGCATTTCTCGAGAACTGGGGGCCTTCAAAGTTTACAAATACATGGCCGACTACTGTATGTATGAGCCAGTGGCATACCGAGGGGGGGTGGAGGCGGGGGGAGGGGGCTCGCGCGAACGGGTCGCAAAATTTTTGAAAGTTACTTACATAGGTTATAAAATTGTGCAAATGATTCGTTTGTATTTGTAAATAATTAAAATAATCTTTAAAATGTTAAAAAATTCATTTTAGCCCGCCACGCCCCCGAAATTAATTGGCACCCACAACTACCGTAATCCTACAGTATGAAAGAGGGACATGTTTTTATGCTGTTACGTCTTGATATTTGAAACTTTTGGACAAGCTTCATTATACTCGTTTTATGTTTAATGTTATTCTTTCAAAATATTTAATTTTGCGAGTTTTTCCTTTTCATAGTCGTTAAAGTTCTCTCACACCAGAGTTTTATTCCCTAGAACTAACACGAACTCATGGAACTCCGGTAGGGTTTACAGGGTCACCGACACAACCAGCTTCTCCCCATCTGGAGATGTATACGTTATAATAACGATGATGATCATTGAATGCTGTGTCGATATAGCGATCACTGCATCCTAGACTTTCTTCTTCGTCGCATTCGATGTAGTCTGCTGTTGTCATGTCGTTGGGATAATAGACCTAAGTAACGGTTGTTAAATACGATTTTGTTAGGTTAAAGTCACCGTACAGATCATAGATCGCTGAGATTTTGATGCAGTACAGTAGCGAGACCCTTGAAGGCAGCGTACACCCAGAATTTCACCTTCGATTTTTTTGTCATTCTGGGGCCTTTCCGTGCCCCTGATTACAGTTATGACATTGAAATTCTTCAAACCCCCCAGAAAACCCCGATTTCCGGGGACCTTTTCTCCAGAGGGCGGACGAGTTTCGAACTGCTCGTCCCCGTCGGCATGCCAGCAGCTGCAACAGCATGACAGCCTGCAGTTGCAACTGTAACTGCTGCATATGCTGTTGTGGTTCGTCGCCCGAAGGAGGCGCACCGTAAAAAGCAACTGCACTGTTGCAACTGCAGTTGCAGATGCAACAGCAGTTGCAACGGCAGCTGCAACTGCAACTGCAGCTTACGCTGTTGTGGATTCGTCCGGAGGAGGCGGAGCGAAAGAAAAGGGGAGGATTGAAAGAAAATTGAGGGGGGTTTTCTCCGCCTAGAAGCAACATTGGGAGACCGGACCAATGTTGCTTCTAGGTGGTCTTCTCTTGGGCCCAATATATACATGGTATAGAAAGATCTAGAAAACTGGGCAACTTAGATTTTGGGTGTACGCTGCCTTTAAGTAGTAGTAGCTGCCCAAGTCCCGCTGAAAAGTGTGCGTATCAAAGCGAAAACATTGCTTCAAAAGTAGGTGCTACTGGGGTCGCCACGCCCACCAAAACTCGATGGGATCGAACGAGCCCAAATTTGAACTCTATAGTGACTAGAAATATCGAAACCATCTTTCCGTCCTTCATGAAAACTATATTTTTGACACTTCGTTATTCTACCTTTAGACCACCCACGTAAACGGGCGTGGCGACCCCAGCGGCGTCAACTTTGCGGAGTTTTCTCGCATTGGAATGCACCTTTTGCAGCGAAACTTGGAAAATTACTTACTCTTCGTTGAGGACTTCGCTGTTGTACTGACCAAGATCTCACCAACTTTAGATCACCCAAAGCTAAATGCATGGTGCCTTTAAGGCCTTCAAGGGGTTAAATATCGAATGTCAATGACGATGACGCATAATGACGAACAAACCTCTGATTTGTGATGGTGGTACTGCTTCATGTCTTTCAATGGGAGGTGAGGGATGATGTCGTGATCGTGAGTGATACGGAAGGTGTAAGGAATCTAAATATCATCTTTTGCTAAGTCTTGTTTTACTTTAGAATTTGTAGACTAACTTGCTCCCCATGAGTATCTGCAAACGCTCGGTTACCAGTTCTTGGTTGCCCAAAAGTGACCACTTTTATCTTGTTTCCATCAAACAACTTCATCTTTTCAATATAAGAAGCAGCAAGTGCAGCCATGGATCCGCCGAGTGAATGTCCAACAATCTGAAAACAGCATAGCCTACAAGAAAAAAGAAAAAAATTCCCAGGCTTACCCATAGCTCGTAGTCTGGATATTTGTGAGCACTGGTAAGGAAATCGTCTTTGACACCACCGTTCCATACAGACATGAAGGCGTTGTAGAAGTATTTGGATACAGTGCCTCCAGCTACCCACGTCGTCTGGAAATTCGCACTCGTTTCCGATTTTATTGATTTTTTCCCAAGTTTCACCTACGAGGCTGGCAGTTGCACAGGGGGTATGTGAGCATGCTGATTACGAAATTGTTACTTATAGGGGGCGGGTCGGGTTTGCCAAATAGTGCGATAACCCGTCTGTGCGGAATCTGTTAGAGGGATAATATGTAAAGGTGTTTGACTTGTAGCAGATGTGCATGGGCGGAGCTTATAGACTACAAGTCTCCACCCCTATCTACCCTTCTCTGACCAACGAAGGAATCTTGTTTGACAAATGGGGGACGGGTACTACAGAAATCTTATTAAGAGGTGTAGAGCTGACAGTGGGATTCCTAGATACACTACTTCCTTGGAGCTTATATTCTAACAATTATCGGAAAATGGGCGTGGCTGCCATCGCTTGCCAAAATAATTTTTGGTCTTAATTTTGGAAGATTTCAGAAATTAGTTTGTTGGCTGACAGGTAAATGACAACTCATTACTCCCCCCCCCCTCCTCTCTCTCTTCGCCCTCGATCCGCACTGCTTTTGACGTTATATGAATACATGTAAAAAAGCAACTAACCATGTTTTCGAACAGAGTCACCTCTCCTTCTACCGCCATTTGCAGTTCTCCAACCGTACCCCTGCAAGAGAAAATGATTGAATAGAAATAAGAGATGGCCATTTTGCACGACAGTATCTAACAATATGTCGCGCGCGGCTACGGTCCTATATGGAATTGCCTATTAAGCTACCTGTATGCCATCATTATGGCTTTGTCTGCCCTGTTCACTGCCACATATCCGCTGCATGTGTCGATAGTGTATTTATCACACTGCACTATGATATGATGAAGAGCCTAAAAGGGAATAGAAAATTTTTTGAACATCGTGAAGAGAATCCAACAACCTTACCGTGGCATCTTTGAACGTCCTACTCAAACATGTCTGTGGATTGTCCAGTTCGGTAGCTGAGCATAGCGGAACTACTTTTGTCCTAGCAAATTCGTCTGAGAAATGCGGCTGAGCAGCCAGGAGAGGCCCAGGGTTTACATTTGCTACCAAAACGAACGCTAAGACGACATGGAAGGAAGTGGAAAGCATCGAAGGCTTGGATGGCAGAAACACAGCAAGGAGTTCGCCGATTTGCCTCTTTATCGCGAAAAAGCCATTAAAAGTTTGTGATAATTGTTATAAGTACTTTTTCCGTGATAAGAAGAGCTGCAGCCACCTCGCTCGGAAAACAAACAAAAAACGCGCAAGAGCCGTGAAAATGATATTGCTTATGTTTGCTCAAAGGCTCAGCGAGAAAAAAATGGATTGCTGAGATAGCTGAAGCGAACTCTGGCTCAACTTTTATAGAATTCATAAATAATTGAAATTCACGCCAGTGCATTTAATTGAAACTAAACAAATCTTTGTGAAAATTCTGTTTGTACACTCTGTCCTCCTTTTCTCCAACGCACAAAATTTGTTATATTGGGGTTGGGCTTGACTAGAGGTGACGCTTGCATTTAGCAAATGAAGTCTAACATAATCCTGCGAAAATTATGCCCCCGAGAATGGGTCGGAATTTTTGGAAGGTTACTTACATGAAGTAATGTTGCAAGTGATTTCTTTATGCTAGTGAATATTCAAAATAAATTTTCGCCTTTTTATCAAATCAATCTTGTTGAACATTTTTTTATCGGAGACCTGACTGCCGCTCCCACGCCCCTTTTCAAATCCCGAGGTTATGGGCCTGCAAAACAAAAAGTTCAATCCATTAAGTTTAGAGCCGAAACCTAAAGATCTACGGTTCCTCGTCCAAAGCAATTTTATAAATTTCCCACATTCTCACTCATACATCGTCCACATCAGACGTTCATAAACGTTTACTGTATTTTTCTACGCGGTCAAAAATCAACTAAAAAAAGGAAACGGTAATGTCGCCAGCAGTTTTCATGAAACTATCAAATGCGAACATGGAAAAGCCAAGAAATGATGGTTGACGAATGCCAGATTAGCTTTCTTAGTTTTTAGTCTCTTTTTAAATACCTGGCACGTAAGAATTTCTGATTGTAAATAAAATCTTTCATGTAAGTGAATAAGTTGAGCTTCATCTCGGCTATTATATGTGCAGGAATCAATCTTTCTGTCGGAAAACTTGTTAATGTGGATATTTTCTATCTATTTGAATCCATGGTGATATGATTAGTAACTACTTTACTTCTCAAGAACCGGAGCCAGGATTAATCGAGCGGCACATCCCGTCTCAAGTGTTCTAGTATTTATTATTACTTCAATTCTGAATATCCAGCAAAAACGCGGTAAAAAAATAGAAGTACCATATATACAAATATTGAAGTTATTAGGCAGAGCTTCCCATGCTCAGATCAGGTTCTGATAAGTCATTGCTGCATGTGGATGGGTCATCAGGTACGAGAATTGAAGGTCCGAATCTAAAGTATTACACTTGGATTTGCATCCCGGTCAATCTGATAATCAAGAAATCTCCTTGCTTCCTTGTAGAATACTACATATAAAATTGAAGATAAGAATGTAGGCTTACCACTCGGCATCGAAGTGTAGGCGGTTCTGACCGGATACTGAGGTACGCGTGGATAATAAGGTAAGCGATTTGCAATTTGATAGGGATACGGTGGATAATAACGATTCATCAAAGGGTTAATTCGGTTCATGTACTGTAGATTACCGTAATATGGAGTGACCATAGGGTAGAGAGGAGGCCGCTAGAAAATTTGCCAAGATCATCAAAATTTTATGAAAATTTTCTCTCACTTACCCAGTTCGGCAATGTATATCGGTACGCGTCAGCGTTCAACGGTGTTGGCATGAACATGTCAACATTTTCCGCCATTTGTCCCATAGTATCAATAGGTATCGATTGAGGCGAAACATCGAATTGACTCTCGGCGTTGACTGATTCTTTATCGTTGCCAGCGGCATTGATCGGAACTAAACGATTATTAGTTAGCAGTTCTAAGTGGTCGAAGCTAGATAAGCTAGTCTCTAGCTTGAACTTAAATTTCTAGCTCTAACTTAAAGGTTCCGGAGGATCACTCAACGCGCCGATCATGACACATAATGCTTTTTTGTTTGTTTTTTGTCTGATTTTTAATTTTTCTTCCTGTGATTACGGTGGGTGTATGGTAAATAGATCAAGAACCCAAATTTGCTCATTCAAGTTCCGATCAAAATTACGACGTCGGTAATCTGGAATGGGGACTTCCATCTTTGATGGTACATCTAATCAAATAGCGCAAAAAGGTCCATGAACACAAGCGATATCGTATTCCTAATGGCATGCAGGAGAACCTTCCCCCCCCCTAGACAAAGTTTCAGGCAAATTTGGGCATCGAACTTCGTACCGTATACCTACCGTAACCCAACGACGCTATCAATCATTATGTTAAACGTCATCAGCATGTCAAAGCCTGTTAGAGTTGGAACAGTTCCAAGAACTTTAGCTCTTGCTTCACAGTAGATAATGAACAAAAAAAATTTTCTTTTACTAGGACAGCTTCTGCTCAATCTCTTCAAGATGAGAGAGGAGATCTGTGTTATTTCAAGCTATTATTAAAGAAATTGCTTAATAGGATGGAAAACTACTTTTTTTGATAGAGGTCCCACACACCGCTTTATTATGAGACATTAGTGAAGGACCTGGAAGCTACCTTTGATTTATCGGATTTGGTTGCGATTAGGTTGACAGTACATCTTTTGACTCACCAGATAAGATAACGAGCAAACCGCATAGCAAACGAGACATCGGCCCTATCAGACGGTGAATGAGTGCGATCACTGAGAGTGGGTTGAAAGTGACGATCAACTAGTTTACAACTATTATAATCCTTCTGCGCTGAGTTATAATGAAGTCGCAATGACCCAACACGCGCCCGGTGGCGAATTCGGGCTAATCCAGCATACTTTTGAGTCCGCTGAAAACAAGCGCGAGGTGACCGGAAGGATTATCTCAATCCAAGTTTATAACTTTGAGAGTGATACTCCTCGTATAGCTGAAGATTACTTTACACATAAGATGACTTGAGGACTATTTTCCAAATTCGTACAGTGAACCCAAATTGAGCATGGTGAAACTTTGATATTAAATAGCGAAGCCTCCAACCAAGTAGTTGCCCAACTCTCGCGAAAAAAGATAAATTCCGAAGCAGGAAAATTGCTCCAAAAGGTACAAGCGGTCATGGTCGCTCCGCCCATCACGTGGGTGGTCTGAAGTGAAGAAGTCCGGGATTTTGCTTCAATGTATCTATTAGAATTGTCATAATTCCGCCCTTCATTGGAATTATCAGATTTTTGTGAGACATTTCTTTTTATCAGACATTTCTATGTACCCCGAAGTCCTTTGGAGCTCATTAAATTCAGACCATTCACATTGATAGGCGGAGCCAGCTTGAACGCCTCTATTTTCAGGATTGATTTTCTCGTTTTAGAATTCATCTTTTGCAGTGAAACTTTGGGCGACTACTTAGTTAGGGGCCCCGCTATCGTACAGCACCAAAATTTCAACACCGTCAATTTAGATGGATGGTGCATTTAACTTCGAAGAGGAAATTTCCGTACTGTAAAAGCTAGAATCTCTCGTAAAGCTACAGCTCTGCGCTGGAGAAAGTAACATATTGAGAAGATCGTGATTCACAGAAGTCTTTCTTCCAATCTTTATTGCAACAAGTAAGTTTACAGTGACAACATAACTGCAAATTCAAGTAGTAACTTGTCTAAGGCATTTTCACGAGAATTTTTGTAACTCACAAGTTTACGCCTTGGATTTCTGTAATGTAATGTAATCAGCGTAGTAACACCTATGACTAATGATTACCTTTTTCCCAAGTTTTTCGCTAGTAGACGGCGTTTGATTTTGACTATGTTTCTTTTCTTTCTTATTTTCCTTCGCTTCTTTTGGTGGTGGAGTCGAAGCTGGCCAAGGTCCAGACGGGGCACCCGCGACAACCGTGCGTGTCCCGACTGGAAATAGGGGAATGTTTATGTTGAAACAAAGGGAAACATTTATCATTAAGACTCACGAACTTTTCCCGTTTCACCGTCCATGACCCACTCTTCAAGTAGTTTTCCAGACACTAAAATGAATTATGGGTAATCGAGAGAAATTCAAGCATAGAAAAATAAACCCACTTTCGGCAAGACAAGTGTAGAAATGATTTCAGTGACGCAACTCTTCCTTCTAGCGTCTTCTTAACATGTCTGCTCTCGCCAAGACATGTTTCGCTGTGCTCCAAAACTCAGCTTAACTTGTAACTTGTAAAAATTGGTCACCGTCAGACATTTGCATCTGAACAGTCATTGATAAGTATAGCCGTGTAGTTGCGCGTTTGACGAGTTGAAACTGGTACCATCGATTTTTTTGCTCTAAATTAAATAGATACTGGTAGCTCTGACATTTTTTGCTCCAAATTTGCACTACAGAGAAAAATCGAAGCTGATACTCTAGAATCTACAATACAAAATAAACCCTCTAAATACTGTAACCCTGCCATGTTTTGACGATTTTTTATTTTGCGAAATCCAGGGTAAACCATATTTCCGCAATATCAAGTCTAAACTGTTTCAAAGTGTGAACTACCACTCTCATCCTACAAAAATCTACCCTAAATAACAGTAAATTCATAATTTTGATATTACTGATGTCTTGTTATCTTAATTGTCAAATTTCTAAAGTAATGGTTGCGCTTCCCAAATGACTATCCACAAAGATGAAGCAAAAACGTTTCTGAAAATTCACTAAAATTAGATTACAAAGAAAATTAGCATATTCCCTGCACAAAGTGTCACGAAAACCTTTTTTGCCATCAAAGCATGTCCGAAATTACGAAATTTTCTATTTACACAATGATGAGCTCAGCTTTTTTGAAGACCTTTTTGGGTCAGAACTAAACTTTAATGGTGCAATTCTTCTTCAAAGTTCCTAGCGTGATCTACGGTATCTAAGAGTAATCGGTGCTTTGCTTTATACTGTGGATCTAATTGTAAGTTAATGCCAGATACAGAATGGTAGTTAAGGAACTTCAGTGAGGAGAGAAATTTTAGTAACAGTGAGATTTCTGAAGACTTTGTAAATGGTCCTGAAGGTAAGATTTCAGGTTAAACAGCAGTTTGCAGGTCTCAAAATGAGCAGAACACCATTTACTAAAAATTGCCCCGAACCAGGATCGAACTGGTGACCTTTAGATCTTCAGTCTAACGCTCTCCCAACTGAGCTATCGAGGCAGTGGTGTTTTATCTTATCACATGAGCCTCTTCCATCCCGGATATCTCCGATAGATGAGGAATAAGGTAAAGGCCGATCCATGACGAAAACAACCACTTTACTTCGCAAGGCGGAAACGCAGCTTTCAATTAATTTCTCCACTGGAGCTCGTACGCCCGCGACGCCCCGCTTACACGCGCAGCCGCCTCCATCTGAGACTAGTCTTTATACCGGGCAACATTCCTATATCATTTCGATATGCAGATTATGCAACCTATGTGCTGTCAAGTTCTTTCTCACAATGAGTTGAGGAATTGTTATCAAGAATTCCAGTGGCAGGTCTGAGTAGTGAGCTTGCCTCAATAAGCATCCGAAATCAAAAAATGCAGCATTCTTGTCATTGAGAATTTGCGACTCAAATTTCAGCTTTTAAACTGCGTCCGGAGTTGGTTCGTGTGTCAGTGCCGTGTTAGCACCGTGCTAGAATCAACGAGGGCGCGCCCCGTACTAGTGATCGGTCGATGAGGCTGGCACGGCGCTAGCTCGCCGCTAGCGCGCACAACTCTATAGTAACTATTTTGCCAATTTCATGACAATACGTAATTTGGATCAACAACACTTTTACAATGATTTTCACACGGACCAAGTACATGAGGTCATGAGAGAAATTTATTCTTCACCTGAAGCAACACGATAAAATTCTAAAATTCACACTTCAAACATGACAACATAACACTTTTCATGAAATTTGTACCTCTAAAATCATTTACTGTAACTCAATAATTCACTATATGTGCAGAAAAGTCGCTGATCACAATGCCCAAGAATTTTTCCACATCTTGAGATCGAGCTTTTTGATCGTACCTCAACAAAGACCAATTATCACCATGTAATTATACAATGCGATATCACAGTCACCGTGGATTCAAAATTCCAGCCTGAAAGCTCATAAATTGTTGAAACAATGTTTGAACACTTGCTCTCAAACGGTGCAATTTTTGATATCGATGAAGGTACAGCCAGGCTATGCAGTGCTCGACCAGCACCAGAACCTGAAATCGTCTTTTTCAGCATGGGAATCACTTAGTTGACAGCCTCCTACTGTTTTTCTCAAATCTATCATATGTAGCTGTTCTGCTTTCGAAGCAAATTGTTTTCTGACTGCATCTTCGTATTCTTTCCGTCTTACTTCGTCAAATCTGAATCTTCGCACCTCAGCGCATATCTGAAATGTTTGATTTTATATAATTATACAGCAGTGGCGGTCCCAGGATTTCGGACCGGGGAGGGGGGGGGGGGGGCGGCAAGAATTTTTTTCAAATGAAGGTGCGTGGCTCTGACCACGCACTTCAAAAAAATTTTTGGTATGTTTCCCAATATTTTGGCGGACCCCTAACCTCGAAATTTCAGAAAAAGGGGAATTTTTTTAATGGCTAATTTGAACTTTTAAAAAAATTCAAAAATTATCTTAATTGTTTACAAAAATAAGCAATTTACTTGCACATTTTTATAACCCACTTAAGTAAATTTCAAAAATTTCGCGACTCATTATCGGAGCCCCCCCCCCCCCCCCTTCCTCGGTCCGCCACTGTTATGCAGAAATTGATACTATGCTGACTTACCTCAGCATACCGTTTGCTGATCAACTTTTTCTGTTTTAGATAATCTGGTTGGACAGGATTTCCCTAAAAGAAGGAGCTTAGAAACACTGTCAGAATAAGTAGAGTTCAGCGGATGTGACGATCAATTTAGTACATTTGCGGTGCCAACAACGTTTGCGCGGGAAGAAAGACAAGCGTCGGATAAGGATGTTAGGACGTTTTTTTTGAAAGATTTTTTTTTGCTTATTTTCCCCATCTAAACCCAGTTTTCTTTTCCAGTAGGAAAAGACCAAATTCAAAGAGCACCCGAGAATGAAATGAAAATAAGGAATTACACAAAAAGAACAGTTGTAGACAGCCTAAAATTCCTATTTCCCACCCTTAAAACAGCTTGCGCGAGACTGCAGCCCAGAGCAGTTGCCGTTTCGCCTCAGTTCCAACACTGTGCCACAACTGTGCCCCCGCTTGAAGAGTATGAAGCAGCATTTAAAGCATGACAATTTCTTCCGCACAGATGTAAGCACTGAAGGGGTGCTAAACAAAGCGTCGCTTATCTACTAGTAAACAAAAGACTTACATATTTCTCAAAATTTGGATGATATTCCTTACGAAATCTAGGAGTATAGGGCCATGCTCCAAAATCTGCAGGCCGGATCAGACCATTTTGATCATAACAGCCGTTGCATTGTCGAGTTGCACCGTTCCATGATTGGACATATTTCTGCCTGCAGAATGTGAAATGTGGGCCAAATTCAGGAACCTGATAAAATGACGATTTTCGACCTTCACAAACAAGCAATTAATTTGCATACATATAAAAACTTTTTGCAGTAGCACTGCACTTGAAGTAAATGTTCCCTCGGCTCCAACATGAATTTATCAAAGAAATCTGGAATAATACACATTGAAACTCACAGAATTTTACCGGAGGAAAAGGAATGAAATTTACATTGTTGGTCCCATTTCTCGCTCCATTCATGGAAATCATCACAACTGAGTGGCCAATGTGGTTCCCATTTGCATCGATAGCAAAAGCAGCAGTCACAGTTTGGGCAGATACAGCTACTGTAGACTGAAACAACGAGATAGGATTTATGAGAAGGGGGGAGGGAGTGTCGAAAATTTGCACTAACCGTTCGTAACATTTGTGGTGAGAGGCGTGCAACATTTGGGACACTCTGTCATATACACGTTGTCGTCTTCCAACGCTTGGAAGTATTCGTAGGACGTCTGAATAAAAATCTTTACAAATACATGCCTGGTGCCAGTACCACGTTTCCGTTTTGAAATATAGATTGTGTACCCTTCGATTCAATAGGATTGGCTCCTGGAAGGCGACCGCTATCGCCCGCGACGCATTCTGCGTCTCACTCGCGGGCGTGCTCTCTGAAGCTCTCTAGCAATAATTGGGCCTCGAAGCCCCTCCTTCCATCCCGCTAATCCCTTTAAATCAATTGCTTGTGCTGGCTCTGTACGCCAACACACTCGAGAGGTTGTCGCAATATAGGCGGGGTCCTTTTTCGAAGTTTTCCGTCAAAGTTGATATTGTTTTTTATGATAATGATTGCATTTTTTTCAAAAATAGCTTCAAAAACGAAAAAAAATACATTCGAAAGAGGGTGCGCGCTCATTGTCCGCTGCGAAAAGCTGATAGCGCTTCGGGACCCGATGTCCAACCGTCTGCGCGCGTTGGTGTATAGGGGCAAGCGCGGCAATTGGATTAAACGCTCGTCTGTCTCCCATGTAATTCAATTTTTACCTTCACAAGCAGGGACATCACAGGCAAAGGTAAAACGGCATAAAGGAGATCAAGAGGTGAACTTTTGTAATCAGCAACAAACTAAACAGAGATGCTAAGGTCAATATTGAAAAAGAAAATTTTCTTTATGTAGGTACTAACTGGAATGTTAAACGGAAGACGATTGAGGCGCATTTCATGTATTATAGTGAAAGCAACGCATTCCCTGCAGATCATACCATCTCTGGAAGCAAAGAGATCCGTTTTATTTGGGGACTGGCACTTGCGGCAGAAATTTCCCATTTTCTGCAAAGGAACGAATCTAGAAAAAACCGTGTTAGTATGAAGTTCAATCTTGCCTTTGGCTTTAATCCACTCTCCAGGCCATAGTTTTTATAGTATGGCCGCAGAAACTCTGACTGCTCAAAGACGTCAGCTCGAGTAGCCTAAATTAAAGCTGAAATCAAAAATTGGCCTTTTTTGAATCAGTAAGGCCTAACCACGGAAGCAAAATTAGCGCTGTTGACTTTGAGCATGAAATTGTCCTTGTAAGTTTTGAATCTCTGGGAACTTTCTGGAGGAAATCTGTAAGCAAGCGATTGCTCTTATTGAGTCAAGATTGAATGGATCAGAAAAGTTGAAAAACCTACGGCTTCTCTAGTTTATATACGAACTCCAAAAGATCGTTGAAGAGCGAAGGAAAATTTTTTCGCGTTTCCAGCAACATGATAAGTGAAGCTTTGCTCTTCAAAGCGGTGAATTGACCTGTTGTGTTGACTCGAATTCTGAATATAAGCTTTCATAAGTCTTAGGGCGACGAACTAAAGCTTGCGCATAGTCAAAATGTAGGACTAAATGGAATTAGCTTCTATAATTTAACATCCTCCAGCTGTGTTCAAGTCATCTGCGCCAGCGTCGTGCCGCCGTTGTTCCGGTGCCATGGGGCGCCGTGCAGGAACGTCGATTAATCGATGCGCGGTGCTTTCACGCAAATTCCGGCACGGCGTTGGCACACAGCTAACTCTGGACGTACATAATCTGAAGTTCGTTTTAACACGTTGACGACAGCGTGTATTTTTAGTTGTCTGCCTTGTGGGACAGTGCCTTCTACAGCAAAATTGAGTATTTTTAGCTGGAATCAAGCAAGCAGTCGTCTGCAGTATCCCTCCAGTGATTTTGAGAAGCAGCTAAGAAACGCGGAAGTAATTCCTAGAAATAAAGCATAACAGAACTTCTAAATCCCAGTCATTGCATGACCCACCATGTGGGTCACATTGTCGTCAATGTGTTAAACAAGTTTTATAATCTTTTCGGCAGCTTCAGCTGGTGCGACATCCAGACCCCCCCCCCCACCAAAGTACGAGTTTCTATAGCCTTTTGAGAGTTTTCAGTCTGGCATTTCATTGAGAAACCTAACCACCGCCACTAACCAGAATAATTCGTATTTGATATGTTCTGGAACCCCCTCCGAGTCCAAATTGGAACTTGATGCCCACCTGAGAATGTCTTCATCCTTCTTCACCTCGAAAAAGAAAACAAACATTGGATTAGCGGGTGATTTGCTCGCAACTGATGCACGTTCTGAGCCGAACCAATGTACAGTGCAATACCCTGGAGCCAGTAAAGGAATCTGGAAAGTTTATACTAAAATCAAAGTCGAGAAGTTTTGTAGAGGGTGCCTCTTCCTGTAGATTAAAAGTATTCAAATTATTGAGCTTGACATCGACAATTTCGAAAACTCCTGGTGCATTGGTGGCCGAAGAGATATCGATTAGTTTAGGTAGTTCCTCCTTGATCATCTAAAGGACCTTTTCCAGCATCAGAACCTCAGCTCAAATGTAAAACCTCAAAGGACGATGTCTCATTGCTGCTAGGTGTACTCCATGTGCTGTTGGACGTCGTCGGTTTATCGATGCTCAGAAAATCTCCAAGGGTTAATTGACTGCTGTAAAAATACCAAAGTAAAAAGTAGATACATGTGTCTATAGCGCCGAAATTGAGCGGTCAAATTTGCGCATGAACAAATAGCCGCGCCTGTAGTGCCGGCCATTTGCGCGCGCAGAATACCGGCACTACTAGCACGAATATCTGTTCACGCGCAAGTATGGTCGCCCAACCTCGGCACCGCAATCACGCTAAGATCTACTAGACATTGAGAAAATATGAAATACACACCGGGAAGATCCAGCTTCGGGATCTGTCGAATCTTCATAATGATTTTCATTCCAATCATAAGAAAATGCATCAAGGATGCACCGCTTTCTCTTTGATCTTCTCTTGGCAGCCGCTTTGTCTGCTCTGCTTCGTTCTTGACATCATAAATTCAACAAATAAACCTATACTTATGGGTAGATTTTCCAACCAGTTCTGTAATTTCTGGACTCTAATTTTTGTATAGGTGGTGAGATGAAGTTTAAAAATATTCGTGTGGGTTCCGCTTCTTTCCGATCTATTCCTCGTTTTTGTCTCAATTCATTTGCGTAGTATCGCAGCTGGAACCTATACTAAGCGATCGTTGCTTCTTTTTTTAGAAAGAAGAATTTACTGTTTGTTGCTTCCCAGCCGCAGAAAGCGTTGTGATAGCATCGTTTTCAAAAACCCGGAATTGTGTGATAGAACTGAAGAGGTCGCGACCTGCAAGAAAGTTGTAAGCAACTTGGAAACCAAGGCAAAAAACACGAATAAATTAAAAACTGTGAAAACAATGATTTTATGTTAAGTTGGTCCGAAAGTTCGTGCCGTACTTCAGACCCATGCTCAAGTTAATCACAATAATGACAGAGAAACGCTCTAAACAATGTTTGATGCAGATTCTTCCTCTTTCTATTGGTAATGTTTCTGTTCAGAGCCTTTTGATGTTTGCCGTATAATCGTCAGCATTTCCAACCCATGATTTTTACCCCTCCTGAGTTTCGCTTTAGTGTTTTGAAATTTTCATTTTCAACTTTCAAAAACTTGATAACCAATTTGCGAAAGAAATTGGCGGCGGCCGCTTAACTTTAGGCGCCCGGTATTGTAGTATTGATAATAGTTGGAAAGAACCACAAAATGCAATACAACGCACTATTTTGGCCTCTTTGAGTAACTTTCCAGTAATTCTTGTATAAATTTTTTCCGAAAGCCATCGCTTGTGCGAGGTTGTGAAATACACAATCGCTTCAAACACTGATAAATCTGCAAAATTTGGCGCTCTCAAGAACGGATTATGACTTAGCACTGATTTAGCAAGTTGAGCATTTGCGGTTCGAAATTTTTGGGTACAGCCTGGAATTCGAAAACAAGAAATGCAATGATTTTATTCTGAGAATTATACAAATCAGGAAGAAAAGAAGTCTATCGGAAAGAGGAGAAAAAGTTGCATCGAATGATACCTTAGTTGCCCCCATTGATTTCTGTGAGGACTGGGATGCTTACATATGGGATCTGATAGCATCGGCAAGATATTTTCGAAATTTTGATAAGTCATTTAGAGATGCCAAAAGAATGTATTGTGTTTTCTTTATTCTATCCGACAGTTATCAAGCCCAGAAAAGTTAAAAATGAAATTTAAAAATTAGCTAAATTAGGAAGGGGTAAAAATCATGGGTTGGAGATGCTGACGATTATTCGAGCAAACATCAGTGGCCGTATTCATCAACGAACCCAGTGGGTTGCGGAACCCACTGGGTTAGTGCTTTTGATGAATATCGATCTTACCCTGGAGTAGAATCGATATTCATCAAGAGCACTAACCCAATGGGTTCCGGAACCCACTGGGTTCGTTGACGAATACGGCCACAGAGTACTCTGAACAAGAACACTGCCATTAGAAAGAGAAAGAAATTCTGCATCGAACGCTGTCTGGAGCGTTTGTCTATTATTATTCTGAGTGACTTGAGCTTGAGTCTCAAAAAGGGCACAAATTTTCGGACTGACCTAATATTATCTGTATCAGTCCGATGACTAAAGAATTTCGAACAGACCAGTTCGAAATGACAAGAATGAAGCCATTCCTATGATTTGACAAGCAGGTAAAGCAGATAAAAGCGCTTTATATAAAATACTTCAAACCTTGATTTATCAGCAGCATACATACAACGAGCAACGAAAGCAGGATAGGCCTTCTGCAGAAAATCTACATTTTTGACTTATCTTGTAGAGTAAATGCTAAAGGAATCTTGCACTATTATACTGTGCTTAGAATAAAAAGCTTAAAAAACTCCAAAAAATGGCGATGATTCGGTGTCAAACCATACCAGATTAGTCGCCTGCAATTTCAAGACACGCTTGCAGGACTACATACCCTATTTTCAGGTGTATACGCCGCACCCTTTTTGCTCTAAAAGCGAGCAGACCCAGACATGCCGCCGCGCATATTCTCGCGAAGCGGTCGCCTTATCGCATACTGCTCCCACTCAGAGGTGCGATAGGTGGAGCCGGGCCCCCCAAAAGTGAAGGTGGTTCCAGCTACCACTGGCCGGCCAAAAGTGAAGGTGGTAGTGCCGGACACTCACCTCCCAAAAACGTCGACCGGGGGGGGGGGGGGGGAGAAGGGGGGGGGACTTCGGATAATTGAAGAACTCTGACCCAACGGTCTCCTTGAGGGCCAACAAGTGTGACCTAACGGCCCTCTTTAGGGCCACAAATACGATGAGTTTAGCGGCATAAAAATAAAATAAAAAGAAATAAATATGTTATTCAAATGGTCTATTTGTAAGTAAATCCCAGTTAGACTTTACATATTTCATTAAGTAGATTTTGTTATGACGCACTGCGAAGAAAGTAGGTCGATCCAGGCAATAACCGCCGAGAACCAGAATTTCCAATAATAAAATAATGAAAAATCGTGAAAAGTCATTCCACTGTTACAAATCTGCTGGCTGAAGACCTCCGCAGTTGCGACTTCATAGGTTTTGAAGGGTAAGTGTTGTTCTACCAGACAGTGAAGAAATCAGTTTGATTTGAGGAGTGGCCGCCGAGAACGAGAATTTTGAAAAACCTTAAAAATCTGCTCAATTTCGGGCTGTTTGATGACAACTGACATTTAAACTCTCACAAATCCGGACTTTGAAGGTGTGTGATGTTGCGACTTCATAGGTTTTGTAGGGTGAGGTTTGCTCTATCAGAACATATCTTAGCTGTACCGATCCATTGAAACGTCGCCGAGATCCAGGCTCCTAAAGAAGCGGGTAAAAAACCGTTTTTCAGCTCATAACTTCTTCAGAATTGCATGAATCATGTTGCGACTTCATAGGTTGGATTCTCCTCATCAAGAGCTTTCAGATGATATATAATATGTGGGGGGTTCACGCCTTCCACGGCATATGCCCGGGGGTGGAGTACTCCTCTTCACTAATTCTCCACCCCGCCCATTTCAATGTATTGGCGGGAGGCCGCCAGTGGAGAATTAGTGAAGAGAGGTACTCCACCCCCGGGCATATGCCGTGGAAGGCGTGAACCCCCCACATATTATATATCATCTGAAAGCTCTTGATGAGGAGAATCCAACCTATGAAGTCGCAACATGATTCATGCAATTCTGAAGAAGTTATGAGCTGAAAAACGGTTTTTTACCCGCTTCTTTAGGAGCCTGGATCTCGGCGACGTTTCAATGGATCGGTACAGCTAAGATATGTTCTAATAAGGCAAACCTCACTTTACAAAACCTATGAAGTCGCAACATCACACACCTTCAAAGTCAGGATTTATAAGAGTTTAAATGTCAGTTGTCATTGAACAACCTAAAATTGAGGAGATTTTTAAGGGTTTTCAGAATTCTCGTTCTCGGCGGCCACTCCTCAAATCAAACTGATTCTTTCGCTGTCTGATAGAACAACACTTACCCTTCAAAACCTATGAAGTCGCAACTGCGGAGGTCTTCAGCCAGCTGATTTGTAACAGTGGAATGATTTTTCACGATTTTTCATTATTTTATCATTCGAAATTCTGGTTCTCGGCGGTTACTGCCTGGATCGACCTACTACATAGATATATGCTCTTAATACTTTCTTTTACATCCCTTTTGCTTATTTTCCTTCTTTTGAGCTTCAGCAAAAAAAATTTTTCAAACCGAAAAGTGAAGGTGGTCACCCCGTACCAGCTCAAAAGTGAAGGTAGGCGGAGAATCGGCTCCGACTATCGCACCTCTGCTCCCACTTAACGCGCCCCATCGTAACAGGCAGTCTTTTGGCGTATGCGCCCTTAGACTGAAAAGGGTGCGGCTTATACACCTGGAAATAGGGTAATTTGGAAAGAGAAAATCATTGCTTCTGACGTTTGAAAAATATTGAGTTATATAATTACCCTATGTTCGCCGTTGTTGATCAAATTGTAAAATGGCCACTTTTTCGTGTAGAAGTGTGATTTCAAAAAAGGTCGTCTGACACTACCTTTCAAAAAATGATATTGACTATGCGGTTTGATTTGCCTATCAATTGTTTTATAAACTTTTAACTGATAGTCGACACATCTATACATATAAAACTCAAACTTTGTAAGTGTGTTCGTTTGTAAGTGTGTTCGTTTATTTGTTCGTTCGTTATAAAAATGCTAGCCAATAAACCAACTGGGCTGGAATTTTGCACACATATGTTTTCGACCCCGGAGATGGTTTAGCGCTACTGTTTGCAGCAATTTGCTGGGCCATTCCATTGATTCATTGATTTGTTTACTCAAACCTGTGAAAGTTCAACATGCTCTAACCAGTCATTTTCCGGTAAATATGTACCGTCTGCGCCCCAGAGAGGTTCCCATGTGAACCAGCGTGCGTATAGTCTGCCCCAATCCTGACCAGGCCAAAATTGGGATAGCGGGAGTCCGCGTCGCGAGAGTTCCGCGCCACATCTGCGGCTAGCTTGTCTGCTTTCTCCTCATTCTCTTCGCTCTCTGCGACAGCGCGCGCATGCACGACATGCGCGACACGCACAGCACGCACACCTAGCGCTCGAGCGCGCAAATTCAGCCAGAGGTTCGGCCTGGTCTCGATTGGGATAGACTGTACGTGGTGCGACGCTGCCTTTCGCTCTTTTTGACACGTTTCTCCTGAGATTTCAACGGAAGTTCCCGAGGTTAACACGTTTGAAAGTGCGAAAGGCAGCGAGATGACGTGGTACCTATGGGAACCTCTCTGGGGCGCAGACGATAAGTAGAGCGATGAAGCTCATTTCTAATCTCAAGGTCGTCAGAATGCGACAGTTCGTCTCAACGCGCTTTCTGCAAGTTTGAAAGTGTAAGTGTAACAATCTAGTTTCATTATATTCAATTCAAACTTTGTTTTTGGATCAATTTTTTGCAATCAAAGGCTTCACTGACCGACTAGATGTAAAAAAGTCGTTCTTCTATTCAGAATGCAAAGCTCAGGCAGATCGGCAGATTGGTTGGCAAGCAATGATGCGGGACTTATCTGAAGCAAAAACTTTTGAAAAACGGTAAAAACGTAAAAGTACTCCAGGTGTACGAAATAAAAATTTGGCTCACATTCCATCTTTTCCTCTTATTCATTGAATATGGGACTTGTGGACAGAAACCATCCGAACGATCCGCAAGTACGCGTCTGAGTTTTCTCTGAAAATTTGCTAAGAGCCTACTATCCCAGCGCAATTTGTTACGATACATACCTTGCTCAATGTGCTTTCTGGATCGTGGATTGTCTTAACGATCGTAACTTGATCGAAGGTTTTCCTGCCTGGATAACGAAGACATTTTCCACTGGGTTTCCACGTCGTTCGGCCAGGTTTACTACAGAAAATGGCAAATTAGAGTAGCAGCAGATATTGTGTTTAAATCATTGTTCTTACTCATAAATGTAGTCCTCGAGATCGTAAAGCGACATCATCTAAAACTCAAAGAAATCTGCAAGTTAATTTCCTTTTTTGCATTTTTATAGTGATATTAAGGAATACAGAATAGATAAAGATAGGAACTGGGCATAGAACTGCACAGTTAAATTGAGCGATGTTCAAAAAAAGAGTAGTAAGTAGCTTCAAAATGGTAGTCGTAATTCATGTGTCTTAATGGAAAACATTTTTATTGAAAACCTTGGAAACGGATCTGTTCTTTACAAAGGTTGTACATAGCTTTCTGTTGATCTCAATCGTTCTACAGTTGTGACAGTGGAATGTGAAAAATTTCGGCGAATTCGCCGAATTCGCCAATGTCGCCGAATTCGCCGATGTCGCCGACTTTGCGTCTTTTCGTCATAACTCCCTTCGTTCGCAATGGATTTCAAATTTGAAGGCAGATTTGGATTCAGCTCGCCGAGGCGAATCTTTTCATATTTTGAACTGCTGTAATCGGCTCGGTCACGGTAAGTGCATGGTAGGAATCCGTTGCATCCTGTGGTGGTGTTTTCTAGAGTGTGTATTTCGGCGCATAATGTAGGCAAAGGTTTAAGAAAAAAGCGTTTGATGGAAGAGTTTCTGCTGAGTGTTTCCAGCAGAAAACCATATCCTTTTTTGTAGTGGTAAAAAGAGAAAGGAGTACGTGAACATAGTAAATATATATGAACCACCTACCGTCAAACAAACATAACTATACAGTAACACTATGATTAGCAGAACAATTATAATCTTTGTAATCAGCATGTCTTGTTGCTTATGTGAGCAAAGTGACACACCGCATGACTATGATATTCGGCTTTCAGCAAAACTTCACTTTTTTCTACAGACGCCTCTTTGTAACGCTGTGGGCCAGCCCCTTTCACATTTGAAAGATTCCGGTAAGGCGAATCGGAAAGAGTTTCCGTAGATAATCCAGCAGTGAAAAGTAGACGGAGACATGCTTTATAAAGCGCGAAAAGAGATGGTGAATTCTGCAAAAATCACGCGTCTTTAAATTCTACTCGCCATAACTCCCTTCGGAATAAGTATATTCTGAATCCGAAAACGGAGCTGTGCTCAGCTCATTAAGGCCAATCGTTTGGTATACAGCATGCCCTTGATATCTCGATTTCAGTATTCTTGAATCTTTCTGCGGACGTTTCTTCTCGAAGGTGTAAAGCAGCGAGCATTGTCCCGAGTAGATTCCAGCAGGGACCTTTTGATAGTACTTTTTCTGTAGATTATGATGCGCTAAACAGTAGCCGCAATTTTCTTTTCAAAGGAAAAAGATGGGCTGGTGAATTGTGGAAAAATCTTGCCGTCCCAAATTCTACTCGCCATAGCCATAGAATATGATGCTCTCTTGCTAAGCAGATGTGATTATCGTAATCAGCAGGTCGTAAAACCACTATGAGCAAGTTTTCCGAGATTTTCGGGTTATTTCATTTTTTCTCGTTTTACGCTCTGGAAGCTCGCCGATGGATTTTGGTCAAAATGTTGATGCTCCTGAATTGTAAGGAAACTTCGCTTATAGAGGTTTTCGAACACGCTCAAATCGTGGTCTTTGAGGATTACAGGATTTTTTTGGAGAGATACGGTGAGGTGGCTGTAACTGCACCACGAAAGTGCGTAACTTTGCCCGCACTTCTCGCGTATCTCTCAGAAACCTTGCTTGCTTGCTTTCCTATGTCAAAGTGACTAGAGACTGAACTATCGAATGGTGCATGAGTCGGGCTCCAGTCTATAAAATTCGCCGAGCTACAAGCCTTCGAAAACACGTCCTCATGAAATTTGCACAAAATGTAAAGATCGCGTACTTTATTGAAATTCCATCGTGAACGGTTGCATAAAACGCGGGCGGGGTGAACATAACATTTGCAATTAGTCATGCAACCGCTCACGATGGAATTTCAATAAAGTACGCGATCTTTACATTTTGTGCAAATTTCATGAGGACGTGTTTTCGAAGGCTTGTAGCTCGGCGAATTTTATAGACTGGAGCCCGACTCATGCACCATTCGATAGTTCAGTCTCTAGTCACTTTGACATAGGAAAGCAAGCAAGCAAGGTTACTGAGAGATACGCGAGAAGTGCGGGCAAAGTTACGCACTTTCGTGGTGCAGTTACAGCCACCTCACCGTATCTCTCCAAAAAGATCCTGTAATCCTCAAAGACCACGATTTGAGCGTGTTCGAAAACCTCTATAAGCGAAGTTTCCTTACAATTCAGGAGCATCAACATTTTGACCAAAATCCATCGGCGAGCTTCCAGAGCGTAAAACGAGAAAAAATGAAATAACCCGAAAATCTCGGAAAACTTGCTCATAGTGGTTTTACGACCTGCTGATTACGATAATCACATCTGCTTAGCAAGAGAGCATCATATTCTATGGCTATGGCGAGTAGAATTTGGGACGGCAAGATTTTTCCACAATTCACCAGCCCATCTTTTTCCTTTGAAAAGAAAATTGCGGCTACTGTTTAGCGCATCATAATCTACAGAAAAAGTACTATCAAAAGGTCCCTGCTGGAATCTACTCGGGACAATGCTCGCTGCTTTACACCTTCGAGAAGAAACGTCCGCAGAAAGATTCAAGAATACTGAAATCGAGATATCAAGGGCATGCTGTATACCAAAAGATTGGCCTTAATGAGCTGAGCACAGCTCCGTTTTCGGATTCAGAATATACTTATTCCGAAGGGAGTTATGGCGAGTAGAATTTAAAGACGCGTGATTTTTGCAGAATTCACCATCTCTTTTCGCGCTTTATAAAGCATGTCTCCGTCTACTTTTCACTGCTGGATTATCTACGGAAACTCTTTCCGATTCGCCTTACCGGAATCTTTCAAATGTGAAAGGGGCTGGCCCACAGCGTTACAAAGAGGCGTCTGTAGAAAAAAGTGAAGTTTTGCTGAAAGCCGAATATCATAGTCATGCGGTGTGTCACTTTGCTCACATAAGCAACAAGACTTGCTGATTACAAAGATTATAATTGTTTTGCTAATCATAGTGTTACTGTATAGTTATGTTTGTTTGACGGTAGGTGGTTCATATATATTTACTATGTTCACGTACTTTTTTCTCTTTTTACCACTACAAAAAAGGATATGGTTTTCTGCTGGAAACACTCAGCAGAAACTCTTCCATCAAACGCTCTTTTTCTTAAACTTTTGCCTACATTATGCGCCGAAATACACGCTCTAGAAAACACCACCACAGGATGCAACGGATTCCTACCATGCACTTACCGTGACCGAGCCGATTACAGCAGTTCAAAATATGAAAAGATTCGCCTCGGCGAGCTGAATCCAAATCTGCCTTCAAATTTGAAATCCATTGCGAACGAAGGGAGTTATGACGAAAAGACGCAAAGTCGGCGACATCGGCGAATTCGGCGACATCGGCGAAAACGGCGACATCGGCGAAATTGGCGAATTCGGCGAATTCGCCGAAATTTTTCACATTCCACTGTCACAACTGTAGTTTTTGTTGTCTCCACCTCATATTTTAGTTTTCCTAAGAAACTGGAAAAAGCCTCGCTATTTTCAATATCTGTTTGAGAATTAATCAAGAAATTGGAAAAATTGCGTGATGTTGTCTGGTTCACCATAATGAGATAATTCAAAAGCAAAGAGGATGTTGTGCTGTTTATGTTAGTAGCCTAATATATACTTGGTTAACACATTGACGATAGTGCCGCGCGCCGCGCAATGGTTCGCGGCGGCCTTAATTTCAATTCTATCTGTCCACTTCTCATTTTGTGTTCATATAATCAACATAGGCTCAGATCAGTGGCGTACCCAGGATTTCGGCTCGGGGGGGGGGGGGGGCGCGACAAAAATTTTTTTCTAATGAAGGTGCGTGGCGTTAGCCACGCACTCCGAAAAAATTTTTGGGGTGCTTCCCAAAATTTTTGCGGGTCCCCAACCCCTAAAATCTGGAAAAAGGGGGCGTGGCGTCAGCCACGCCCCCGAAAAAATTTTTTTTATAAAGCTAAAATGAATTTTTAAAAAATTTTAAAAGTTATTTTGAATATTTACAAGTGCAGACAAGTCATTTGCACAACTTTATAACCCATATAAGTAACTTTCAAAAATTTCGCGACCCGTTCTCGGGGGGGGGGGGGGGGGGGCGCGCGCCCCCCCCCGCCCTCCCCCCCTCGGTACGCCACTGGCTCAGATGTATTTTATGTGATAGCCCTGCTCGTTCTGGCGGAACCTGCCCACTCTTATGCCCCTCACAAGGATCTTTTTTGTGCAAAGCACAGGAGAGACCGTAGACGAACGCAAAGGCCTCAAACAATTTTTATCCAAGCCCCTCTCCTCAGGCAAGCTACGCCTCTCAGTGGCAAGCTCTGCCCATTTTCCAAAAATGACGGAATTCGCATGAATTCTTGAAATTTGAGCAATCTCCGACATTTTTGGTCGAGTGGGCGGCGCTTGCCGCAAGGGAGCGGAGTTCGTACATTTTATATTTCATGCATAGATATATGCGTACATACAGTCGAGTAGATTTCCTGCTTAATATAGTGTCCCTGCAGACGCGACAACGCTGGGGCGTCAATAATTTCCTGACGAGTTCCCGTGCTAGTGTTTTCCAGTGTTTTCTTTGCTTATTCTACGTTTTTTAGGTGATTCGTTGCTGATAAAGAAGAAAGGGTAAGTTAAAGAGTAGATTCTGTTTTCTGAGAAGTTCTATCATCGCATATTCACAGATATCCACGTGGAAGCAGCTCGCGTCAGCTTCTTGTCTATTTTTTGTCACTTCATGTCTCTTTCTTCTTGAGAGGTACTTCTTTGAAAGCTAGCGGGTTTTTACGATTGACTAATTGTCTTTATCACATGAAGTACTTGATTAAAATGCTATTTCTCATGGATGAAATCCGATGTTGCTGCAAGACAAGCCAACTAGCGTTCAAAGAAACTCCTCACAAGAAGGAGGAAGTTTGAAAGAAGAAGTGACAGAAGAAAAGGGAATGACAAAAAAAATAAACAGAAGCTGACAAATGCTTCCACGT